CGTGGTGGTCATGGTGTCTCCTCACAGCAACAGAACATGTACTGTGACAGGAGTTGGCACCAGGGAGTGACAGGCCTGACCATGCTGCTTGGGGGTGGAATGTAGACTTTGGAACTTTGGATTAGGAAAGCAGCTGAATGCTTTAAGCAGGGCTTAAGGAGCCACTATCACTAGGAGCATGACGGCCAGTGTTGAAGGCAATTTGGACTGTGAAGTCCCAGCTCAAGAAGGTTCAGAGGGGAAGGGTATTAGTAAATGGCCTAGAGACCATTCTTGTGATGTTTGGCAAAAAAAAAAAAAAAAAAATGTGGCTGCTTTTTGCTCTTGTCCCCACCCCCCACCCCCCAAAAAAATCTGCCTGAGGCAAAATTGAAGCATTTTGGATTAATGGCACTAGCAGAGATTTCAAGATAGACTAGCACTGATTCTGTTGTCTGGATATTAGTGGTCACTCTCATGCAGATCTATAATGAAAAGGAGCAAGCTGAGAAAGTGAAAATACAAAATGTGTAGTTTGAGGAGAAAAGGATCACCAGGGAGTATAATAGAGATAAGTCTGGTACTCAGGGAGATAAAAAGTTTCAAGAAAAGCCTGATGCTCAATGGAATAAAGGGAGTGGTGACCTCAGGGCAAGATCCCACCCAGCTAAGCTTCCAACTTGTGAAAAGGAATTAAAGAAAAGTTTAGTCATGAAGAAAACCATCAACAACAGAAAGCTGATGAAAATGTATTTGAATGAGGGGGCCAAGTTCCAGCCCCAGCAAACAGAACTTGGCAGCTTCAGCCATGTGGTTCTGGCTTTAGAGTCAAGGATAAAAGTCAGGTGCTGTGGACTCTCCCTCCATGGCTAAGAAAAGCTACAGACACCAATGTGCTGGGGCCCAAAGAGGCCATTGTGTGACGCTGTGAAAGTGAAGCCTGGATTTCACTGGAGACCCCAAGATGTTGGAGATGCCACAGTCATGAGGTAGCTGCTGAGGAAAGCTGCTCATGGGGAGTGGAACCAGCTCAAGAGAGAGCAGTGTGCTGCAGTCAACAGAGCTGAAAGGAG